TGTTCATAATCGATTATGTTAATCTGACTATGGTCTGGTAGTAGATTAAGGTTAACCGACTCCAATTTTTTTATTCTTTTGAATTTTTTGTTTATTGATTCTAATCATATAAATCTATTATAATCTTTGTATATTTTTTGTTTTTGTAAAATATAGTTGATTTTGTAATTTTTTGTAGTTGTGATTTGTTATTTTTAGTAATCAGATTCTTAATCGATTATACTTATATCTCATAGTCTATTAATATATCTGATAGAGAAAAAAAAAAGTTAAAAAACGAAAAAGAAAATTAAAAAGAAAATAAAAAAAATAAAATAATAAATAAATAAATAAATAAAAACGGCTGAATGTGATGGGGCATAATTGGTGATAGTGTTGAAGAGGTGGCATGAACATAATTGGAAAAATAGGTGGCTGAAATTATGAATGCGTTTTTTTCAAATGATGCAAAATAGTTTGTGTCTCTCCCTATTAAAAGAAGTATTGAAAAGAGGTTATATCAAAGAGCTCCAAAATAAAATAGAAAACAATAAATTTTGTGACAATATTAATTGTACCTTTTAAATTATATAAGTAGGGGTCATTACAAATAAGCCCATCAATTGATACTTTTTCATTAAGAGATCCAGATAAAGAACTCATTTACTAATAAGTCCACACGTAATCCAGATTTTTGTAAAAAACTAAAATAGCCCCTCATACTTTAATATGATCCAATTTCATCCTTAACTTAATTTAACCTCAATTTGACCCCAAATTTCACATATTATTCAATTTTGACCCAATTTTTTTTTTTTTTCTAAATGTTTTTTTTTTGCCGCCGGATTCCGGCGTTGACTTTTCAATTTTTTTTTCTTTCTTTCTTTCTTTCTTTCTTTCTTAGCTTGCTTTAATTTTTTTTTTTTTCGTTTAAACAGCAATATTGCTGTGATTGACAGTAATATTAACTATATTACTGTTAAACACAGTAAAATTAACTAAACTACAGTTTAACACAGTAATATTGCTATATTAATCTCTAACACATTAATATTAACACAACAAAATTCATTATTATTGTGTAATAGAATAATATTACTATGTTGACCGTTCAACAAATGTAAACATAATAAAAAGGCAAAAGAATTAACATTACTATGAGTGACAGTAATATTACTATAACAACAGTAATATTACCGTCAACCACAGTAATATTACAATAAAATAGACAGTAATATTATTACCTTACTCCGTGAATAACTCAAACAAACAAAAATATCCAAACAAAATAATAATATTGATGTGGTTGACAACAATGTTACTATAACAATAGTAATATTACCGTCAACCACCGTAATATTATTGTGTTTACAGTAATATTACAATAATAGACAGTAATATTATTACGTTACTCCGTGAATAACTCAAACAAAACAAAAAACCCAAAAAAAATAATAATATTGATGTTGCTGACAGTAATATTATTGTGTTTACAGTTATTTTACTGTCAACGACAGTAATATAATTACGTTGACTTGTCAACAAATCAAACAAAATAAAAAAAATAACAAAAAATAAAAAATAAGAATAATATTACGTTAATTTACTGTCAACGGCAGAACAATTACATAAATGTATTATCAACAGCAGTACAATTATGTTAATTAACTGTCATTGACAGTATAATTACGTTAATTTACTGTCAGTGACAGCACAATTACGGTCAACGTTTAGTGGCGGACGTAAAAAAAAAAAAAAAAAAAACTAAAAAAAGTCAACGCTGGAGACCACCGGTCAGCGCCGGAAACCGGCGAAAAAATTCGGAAGAGAAAAAAAAAAGTCAATGCCTGAGACCGCCGTTGATCGCCGGAAACCGGCAAAAAAATCCGGAAGAAGAAAGAAAGAAAAAAAAAGTCAACGCCGGAATTCGGTGGCGATTTTTTTTTTTTTTTTTGAAAAAAAATTGTTTTTGAAAAAAAAAGTCAAAATTAAATTTTTGTGGTCAAAATTGAATTTTTGTGGACAAAATTGATTAAATTGGAGTTACAATTAAGAATTGAGTATAAATGGTTGAGGGTAATATTGACATATATATGAATGGTTCCTTTATTTATAATAAATATTAAATGGATGTGCTTATTGGTGAAACAGATATAACCCCTAAACCTAGAATAATAAAAATACTTGGTTGGGGACTTATGAACAAAAACCGCATATAAGTATAAACCATCAATTACAAAAGCTATTAACTCCAAATTTTCAGCACGCCAACTGGTTTAAATTAAGACTGGCCAGTCAGTCAATACATGAACATTCTTCTCAAATTTTTTTTTCCTTATAAAGGACCACCAATGTACATTGTTTGAGATTTCTTCTCAAAAGCTGCATCAAAGACTAACATTTTTTACGTCCATTAAACGCTGTCTGCGTGGCAATTCCGTAAATTGACTTAAATCTGTAAACGTATATTGACTAGATTGTGAACGTTTAATCAGTATATTCTAAACGAATTTTCGAAATGATCTTTATGTGCGTCGTAACACACCATTTTGAACACTATTAGAATCAGTGGGGAAGCAAATTAATGTAAGGCCAGATGGGGGCCATGGCCCCCTCACAAATTTTAATTTTTTTACTACTATATATGTATATATAACTTATTGTCTTTCTATCGTGCTCCAATATTTTTTTATGATGTAGTTTTATAAAAATATAAAATCAAGAATTTTTAATTGAAGAAAATAAAGGGAAATGATAAATGACTCTAACAACTAACAAGGAACGTAAAGAAATTACGATTGTGACTTGGTATTAGCGTATATATTATATATTCCGTATATTATTATTATTATTATTATTATTATTATTATTATTATTATTATTATTATTATTATTATTATTATTATTATTATTATTATTATTATTATTATTATTATTATTATTATTATTATTATTATTATTATTATTATTATTATTATTATTATTATTATTATTATTATTATTATTATTATTATTATTATTATTATTATTATTATTATTATATTATTATTATTATATATATATATATTATATATATATATATATATATATATATATATATATATA